CCCCAAAACCCCAAAACCCCAAAACCCCTTGAAATTTAAAATTGGTAGTTCTTATGAATAAATTAAGTACAATCTCTAATTTACATATTCAATAAATCTTTTTTGGCATCAATATTTAATGTTACTCCCATTCTCTTTCACAAACTTCTTTGCGTGTGAATAGCATTAACTGAATCTCTAAATGAAGTAATATAAGACCCTTCCTCCTCTATAACTTTAGAAAGATTTAGCTCGAGTAGTTTAATCTTTCTATCTTCGAATAAATGTTCCTAGTCCAAAAGTTTTGTATGTGTTGAAGTTATGTTTATTGGTCTCTCAGGAGAAGTAATATTATCCTAGTTCTCAAAAGTGTTGATCTGGGACTCCTCATCAAAATTAATAATATCTGAGCTATCTTATCTTATCACATTATTGATCTACTCAAATAGTTGATATATCAATCTATCAGCTAGATCACAATAATTTTATCTTTACTCGATTTCTAGCATATTGAATTTTTCTTCACCCCTTATAAGTTGAATCTCTTGGTTCAATCTTTATTAATTTTACTCATATTTACCATAAATAAAGCTCTTTTAACTAGAGAGAACCCCTAATTCTTTATCCAAATCTATAGTTTTTTATCTGTAAATACTTTTAATGCTCTTGACTTCTTTTTCAAGATTAAGATTTTAAGATTTTTGATAAGTTTAATAGCGCTTGAGGTTTTCAATCTCAGTCTCTAGTTAAGTTTACTCGTCAAGCATATTGTACTTATCCTGCATAACTTGAGCTAGTTTTATCATTTACTAATGAACTTATTTGTTCTTTTGTTCACGCAGCTTAGCAAGATTTTACAAATTCATCATATTCTCATCCATCCGAGAGCTCAAATCTTTCAACTAATCCTGTTTAAATTCTTATCTCTAAGCTGATGGGGGCTCTTTCTATTCCTGCTCAATAATGTAGGTGAGTTCAGTAAACTCTTCTTAATTTTTTGGAGAAATGCAGTCTTTAACATAATTATGAGTATCAAAGGTCTAATTGAAATGATCTTAAGAAGAAGTTCTTGATCTAATGTCATTGATGTTTATCCTTTGATTCTTAAAAGCATCATCTTAAACAGTTGAGAATAATGGTGATAGTTGAGGCTATTTTTAGTCTTCAGAAGGACGTTTCAACTTAAGAGATAGGTGATGATTCAATGATTATCTGCTTAAAGTAACAATGGGTATATCTTCGCAGATGTTTGAGTCTTTTTGCTATTGATTTTGAAGGTCATTCTAAGACTTTAAAAGAATTTCACTGAAATCTCTCTTTTTCTATTTAGGTTGTGAATATTTATTTTTACTCTCAAACTTCAAACTTTAGAGGTTGGTTATTTACTCATTGATATCTTTTTGAGTACATGAAGGTCTCATTGATAGCTTAGGAGATTACGTACTCATCTAATTAGTCGGTTAGTAACTTATATTCGACTTAAGATTGTAATTTTAAGAGTGAATAAAATGATAACCGTTTTACTAAGTACTATTTTATTGCTTATTTTTAAGTTTCTGATTTTGTTTAGTAAATTTAGTTAATTTAAGATCTTTATTTAGGATAGATGGTTTTTCCTTATTTATAGGACTCTAGTTTTTTAATGTTGTAAATGCTTAGAACTTTTGATAAACTGATTGAAGATTAATTCTTGAAACTGTGGTGCTTGCATTTTTATTCATACTCATTGATTCTCTCATTTGAGTTTGATTTGAGGTTTTATTCATGATTGATGTCGATCTATCACCTTAGGTTGTATTGTTAAATGTAGAATGACCTAAACTTCTGTGCTGAAATTATTACGAATTCCTGCTATCTCTCTCAGAATACATCCCTTTCATTACCTTGATAGGATTTCTGTTAAACAAATAGCTATTATCCTGGTTAATGGTGTGATTATTAGGACTCTTATTTTAATTCTTGCTAATACTTTAACCCAACTCATTTAGAGTTAGCCTCCTATCGTTGAGAATGCACTTGGTCGGATATTGCTCTTACTTCTTGTTCTGCTTAGTCTAAGTCTAAGGAGGGTGGAAATCTTATCTATTACTCCTTATTTTTTTCCAAACATCATTCAGTGCTTAGGAGGAAGTAGCTGCATTAATACTTTGCACAGCATCAACTTACTTTTCATGTGGGTACAAATTGGTTATTTCTTCATTGTAAATTGACTTTGAGTTAATTAGATTTTTTATTCTCTAATTAGCTTGTTTTGCATCTTGCAATATTTCAGATGGCTTTATAGATTCATAGTATTCTCTAGAAGTGCTACAAGACAAATCAAGCTCAGTATCATCTGAATCCCCTTAAAATTTTATTGTCTAAAATGAGCAAGTGCTCTATTTTATTTGCATATGATCTTGATTATTTCTCTTAATTAAGGAGTCTTTTACTTTTTATTGCATTTTATTTTCTATTTAAAATATTTACTTAATAAATATATTATTCTTTTATTAAAACGAGGTCAGTCTCACTATCTATAATTTATCTTAATATTTAAAAATGAATTAGTTAAAATCTCGACTTTTACGTTAGTAAGAGCTGTCCCGTCATCCACATGAGGAAGTCCTAAAGCATGCACCGAGAAACTTATCTGAAGTTACAAGTGCGCATGAGGTTAATATGAACAATCCACCACAAAATATATATACTAAGCCAACTCGATATTAAATTACTGAGGAATAGAAAATTTACGAAGAGGATAAGAATCGCACAACTTTCAGAAAAATATTAGATGGGATTTAAAACGAGGCATACTAGGATAGTGAAACTGGAATGAACCTTAGACAAACTCTTTAAATGAGATAAAGTCAGTTCAATCCATTTACAAACATGAACCTAAATGGAGATAATCCGGGTGGTAGTTTCAAAGTAAGGACTCTCAAAAAATCTACAATAAATTTTAGAAGTCAAATTGGATCTACATCTACCATAGGCTCAACAAATGCTTATGGGACTAATTAATAATCTACAAAAGGGTTCAGCAATTTTAATACTTTCAAAAGACCAACTACTGAAAGTCAGCCACACAGAGGACCATAACCTATTATACCAACAATTAACTATCATCTAGAATAATTCAAGAATGATTATAAAACTGAAAAATAGGTAGAAATCAAGGATTGTGAATCAGATATAGTCAAGGTTTAGGAGAGTTCTCTAAAGCAGCTTACATCTATCATTAAACCAAAAATGACAAATGATGAGGTGAGAAGAATAGATAAGAATCTGTCAGTATAGAAAAATCTAATAGAAAGAGGAGTATCAATGCCAAAAGTTATTGCTCCATTTTTCCCCAATAAACGATCATAACAGAATAAGATCATTTTTAATGAGGTGTTTGTTGTACCTAAGCAAAAGGAACTAGAAAAGTTAAAACAAATGCAAGAAGATCATCTTGATTTACTTAGCAATCAAAGAATTATTTAGCATGCGAGAGATGAAAAAAGAGAGATGGAAAGGATAAAATAAATGCAAAACTGTGAAGTTAACCATAGTAATATGCTGAATGACAGTTAGCATGCTTTGAAATAGTCTACTGTAAGAGGCTTCTCAAAGGTCAATTCACCTGAAAAATAAATAAGATTAGATGATGGAGGAGAATCAATACTTTAAGAGCTCTCTGTGGGTTAATCAGCAGGAAAATCTAAATTTGAAATGCATGAAATGGCAAAGTTGGAGTAAGAGGAGACCTTTGATATTATTGAAGTAATAATGAAAAAATTCAATTCTGTTTCAAATGAAAAGAAACATATGGGTACTTCCAAAAAAGCTCAACCTAAGACTCAAAGTTTTTTCTCTTAATAGATTCATGTCTAATGTCCAGATGGATATAATGCAACAGTTGCAGCTCCATTAGCTCCTGGATCTGGATGGGCTCCAAGTATTCCAGCTGGAAATAAAAATCTTTATAAAGCTTCACTTTAAGATATGACAATGAGAGCTCGTGCTGGAGTATAAGTTGGTGATGTTTAGAAAGAAGCTCATATGGCTTACTGTCTAGGAGTTTTGAATGAGAATTAAGAGTAATATGAGCAAGCTGTTAACTTCTTCAAAAGATTCTTTTTTTGTGCAAGAATGATGGACGATCCAGTAGGATCTTCTTTAGCTTTAAACAGAATTGGAGTTGCCTACTATAAGAAAAAGAAGATTAGCAAAAGTTTGAAATTTCATTCGAAGCATGGTGAGTTTACTGATAAGGAAAATGTATTTGCTTCATTTTACAATACTGGTATTTGCCAACGAATTCTAGGTTCTTATCTAAAGGCTATTGATAATTTCAATAAAGCTCTTGAATGGGCTCTTCATAGAGATGTAAATTATATGTTTTAAAGGTTTTAGGACTAAGAGAGTGCCTGTATTTGCTATGGCTAAATTGGAGTAGTATGTCTGCTTCAAAAGAATAGTTTTGAGGCAGAATCCAATTTTAAAAGGTGCTATGAGATCTCAAAGGAAATGAAAAATTAGAGACTTTAATTGGATTGTTTACTTTGCTTGGGGTATATTGCTTTTGATTAGTAGTAATGGCAACAGACTAAAGATTACTTTGATAAAGCTTACTTTGTATAGTTTAAACTTTCAATAACCTTTTTAGAAAGCAAAACAATTGAATGAAAATAATCTAGCTGAATAATGCCTATGTAATGCAGGAATTGCCTCAGGTAATATGATGATGAATGATCAAAAGAGAATGATGGATCAGTTCTACAGAACTGCAGGAGCAAACGGTTTTGGAATAAATGCTGACTAAGATGATGAATCAGAAGAAGATGAAGAAGAAAATCAATGAAAAAGCAATTAACAATCAATTACTACAACTATCACTCATGATGATTTAAAATGGATAATTTTCAATATATTTAACTTTTTAACTCAATATAAATATAATTGTTACGGGGTTTTGGGGTTTTGGGGTTTTGGGG